CAGCGCAGCAACAGAGAAGGCCCTCCCCCGGGGAGTCGCCAGCCGGCATTGTTCGGTTGACGGCACCCGGGGGAGGCCCAACCGGTGCGATCTTGTTGGTCGTTGGGTGGTAAGTGGCAGGAGGCGGTCTCTCAGGTTGCCAGGTCCTAAACCATGTAGGGCTTTAAAAGTAACGACTAGCACCTTGAAGCGCGACCGGAGACCATGAATTACATGATTTTTTTGAGAGCTTCAATATGGCCGATCATGGTGATGAGAATACAATATGGATACTATATGATGCATGCCAACCAGTGGCGGGTTCCTACCGGTTCGGTGGAACTGGTAGTGGTTTGGCGACCGGGTCGCTGGAACCAGCAGTGACCCAGGCCAGCCATACCCCCGAACTGTTTTTCGCCCCCAAATCTTGTTTTTTGCTTCTGCGCCTGTGCAGAAAAAATTTATTTCACTGCGCATGTTCGTGCAGCGTGCATCAAGCAAACCAGTGGTAGTGCCTGCCAGAACCCACTCCTGATGCCAACAGATAATGTAGTATTTTGTCAAGCTCTGTTGACATCTCCTGTGCTTTCCAGATGCAGGGTTCATTAAGTCCCAAAGACTTAAGTTGAATTGAATTAATTTAATAAATAAATTAAAAATTTGAGGGAGAGATAATTCTGTTACATTGGTGTCACTGATTTTGGTACACCGATTAAAAACATAAAACTAGAAAATTATTCATTCTTCTCATAGGAGACTGATAGGAAGAAGATTCAATAAGAACCTCACAAGCCATTAATCAGTTATCATCTTTTATTTTTCTCTTAAGTCACAGTGATGTGCCTTGAGGAGTTTAAGGTACACTAAGGTTTTGTTTATACAAAAAAAAATACAGCAATATAACATTTCAATTGTACCTATATCAGAGTACTGTTCTCATCATGGAAACCAAGTACCAGTGTCTTCAAACTGGTAAAAAAGAAGAAGAATTTCTATGCCCAGATTATCTTCTCTGACTCTCACAGAACTTCTCTATTTTGCAATTGGTTGGATGTATCTGCAGGTCACGAAGGATAGATAGTGATGGTGACTGTACTGCTGAGAATGCCATAGTGGGAGATAGATAATTATTTTTGCTTATGAGATACCCATTCTGTTCTGGGCATATCCGCCCCGTGATTATTGCATATGATTCTCTGCCACCAATCTTGGCCTAATCGAATGATTATGTTTGAGTTTGGAGCAGCAAAATAAAATACAGAAAATAATAGTAAAATAAAACTCACTTTGTTTCAGGTACGCCGGCAAAATGGAAAGATTACAAGCAGAAGCAGAACTTATTAACCGGGTAAACAGCACTTACTTAGTGCGGTATAGGACTAAAGAATCAGGAGAATATGCCATTAGCATTAAGTAAGTGAATTATGTGTTTCTTTATATTGTTCATGCAATTGATGGGTCAATATTGAATATGGATTTTTTAAAAATAAGGTTACGCTAGTTACATTCGTTTGTTAAAAAAATATTATAAAAACCTTGATGGGTTTGAAAAGTAGTTTTGGCTTGCCTGCCCTGTTGAAACTCTTTGAAAATTATCCCTAACCACTATTATTCTACTATTCAGTCCCATCCCCCTAGAAACAGGCAATTGATCACAAGCTGGGCTCTTATAGCAATACCAGTTAGACTTATATACCGCTTCATAGGGCTTTCAGCCCTCTCTAAATGGTTTACAGAGTCAGCATATCGCCCCCACAGTCTGGGTCCTCATTTCACCCACCTCGGAAGGATGGAAGGCTGAGTTAACCTTGAGCCGGTGAGGTTAGAACCGCTAAACTGCAGATAACAGTCATCTGAAGTGGCCTGCAGTACTGCACCCTAACCACTGCGCCACCTCGGCTCCAGTAATCCTCTAATGTATAGCATTCTAAGCAAAGACAACTTTGTCTTGCATGGAATCAGCTTTGTTCTCTCTTTTTAGGATCCAGTTTTTATTACCTTCTGCAAGTAAACTTTTCACCTGGGATGGCGCAGTAATGGTTCTGTGACTTGGAACACAAAGATTTTATGATAGCTAGTAAAGAGTGATTTAAAGGCCTATTTGCATTTTAACTAGAAATTTTTCGGAATTGATCAAGCTATCAACCGAAGCCAAACAGAATTTTTCCCTTGAATCGAGTGGGAGCAAGGATATCATACCGAAGGAATAATAATATTTTTTTTTGGAAAAGCTGTTGCTATCTTTGTCAATATGAATTTGAATGCAATCAACCTGGTGGGATTCAATAATTAGATATGGCCGGGAGCCTTTTTCTTAAATCTGGATGTAGGCGGGTGTGTTAAACTGGACCCTAATAAATGTCTTTTGTTAATTAGGTGTCAGCAGTGTATTGGCATGGATATGTGTTTTGTCTTAAGAATTTATTCATGGAGAGTTTGGGCACGCTGTCAAGTAATTATTGATTTTTCCAGATTGAAAACACATTTATATTCATAAGTTATTCATTGCCCATAGGTACAATAATGAAGTGAAGCACATCAAGATTTTCACAAGAGAAAGCTTTTTTCACATTGCAGAAAATAGGAAATTTAGAAGTTTAATGGTAAGTATAAGTTTTTATTTTGTTTTCCTGTTTCCAAAAATACTTCAATTAGTCATTATCTTATTAAATGTTTAACGTTGGCATATATAGTGTGATGTTACTAGTATAAGACCTGTGCTGGTGGAGTGGTTAGAGTGCAGTATTGCAGGCTAACTCTGCTCATATTGCCAGGAGTTCGATTGAATTGAATTGAATTTAATAAATTTATAGGACGCCCAATCTTGAAGGATTCCGGGCGGCTTACAGAAATAAACTTCAAAAAAAAAAAAAATTAAAAACAGAGGAAACAATTTAAAAACCACATCATACATCCACTCTGGTCGGGGCTGGACCTCAGTCATGAGGTTAACAGCCCCAGGCCTGCCGGAATAGCCAGGTTTTGATAGCCTTTCGGAAGGCCATGAGAGTGGGTAGGGGTCCGGATCTCTGGGGGTAGCTGATTCCATAGGGTCGGAGCGGCTACAGAGAAGGCTCTCTTCTGGGGAACCGCCAGCCGACATTGTCTGGCTGACGGCACCTGGAGAAGGCCCACCCTGTGCGATCTTATCGGCCGTTGAGAGGTATGCGGCAGTAGGCGGTCTCACAGGTATCGAGATGTACCGAAAGTCACTCTGGCTTCTTCCTGAGCAACAGGAAGAGCCGAGGTGGCGCAGTGGTTAAATGCAGCACTGCAGGCTACTTCAGCTGACTGCAGTTCAGCGGTTCTAATCTCACCGGCTCAAGGTTGACTCAGCCTTCCATCCTTCCGAGGTGGGTGAAATGAGGACCC